CTGGAAGCGAAGCTTGTGCACCAAATTGTTTTTGACATAAATGACAACTCCATTCTCCTTCCGGAGCTTGCGAAAGCGGTGGCCGTAAACAATAAAGATGGAAGCCACGGTCACAATCATCACAGAACAGCAGTTGGTCCTAGAATACAAATTCTTTTTAGAATTCGTAATTTCGTCCAAAACATGGAGTATATATATACATAAAATTTAAAATATGATCAGCATAGTTGCAATTAATTCTACAGAAGTTAAAATGAAAACTAAATTTATGCTAAAATCAAAAAACTGGAGCTATAAAGAGGAGTAAACTAACGTCATTATCTGAGAATCCACAAATAGCGCAGCTTTTACATTCAATGCATTGCCAACCGTATTTTCCGGTAGATGTAAGCATATTGTCCGTGAACTTAAGGCAGCTCGGATGGCCTGTAAGTATCTGTGAAAATGAAGCCTTAACTGTTAACAGTAAAAATCAATCAGATACCCAAAATGTAATATCTCTATGAAGTTCACAGTCAGTTTAACTGCACAGCCTTTACATGACAACATCAAACACGAAAATTACATCTTTCTAACAAGTGACATTATAAACACCACATATATGGTCGACTAAATGATCACATTTGACTTACGTAGGCAGTGGCCAAAATATACGTTGCAAAAAATGACCTAAACGGCGTGAAATAACAACAAGTACATAATATGATACTTTTATAACATGAAAACATGGTATTTATATATGCTGCAACACGTTACCTGATCTTCCACAATCATGACAGCTAATAAGCTGTTCCGGTTTCATTGTTTTTTTGTTCTGGTTGCAATCACCCAAACATAAGTCGCAAACTGTGGAGACATCGATACTCGGCGATAGCACTGAAAAGCACTCATGATGAGCAACCCTCAAGCAACACAATCCAATTTAACATGCTGCAATGGATGCAGCATACTTTCCAAGCAGCTGTAATAGCCTCCGCATCTGTTCCACTATTTAGGGACCAACTTTTATCCACGGTCAGAGTTTTGGGATAGGAAACACATGCCTATCTCCACCCATGCATTTTCGTAAAGAAATTTCAATTGATAAGCCAATCTTAAAAATTAAGCATCTCTGACCTTCTGATGATTTCCAAATTTGAAATGTCTTCAGTTTTTCCGATTTCTTCAAAATACTACGCTTTGTTGTGTTACTGTCAAAAAAAAGCCTCATCGGAGAAAGTTTTTATACTTATTAATATATATATATAAATACTAATTGGACATTTCCGAAAGCAAATGGATAACAACAAATGTGTGTATCACCGAAACAAGCATTTTTTGATACAGTTATAGTTTGATAAAGTAAACCCGTTTGAATCGTTGTAATGATAAGCTGAGAAAGTTCTGGATGCTACCCGGAGATGACAACTACCCAGATGTTTATATCCCTCAGCAATAAATAAACTGGTAACCAATAAAGCAAAAGAATCAATCAATACGATGTGCTGGTTGGGGCGTTGTTGACGGACTGACATTATCTGCATGCACATGAGCTCGATGGTAGTTTAAACCCGGACGACTTTTATATTTGGCACCACATACTGAAAGGATATGCAGATGAACTCATTAAAGTAATATTGGAGTTTAATGCTGTCGAATTCGAAAAATTAAAGCCAGAAAGTATTCCCACAATTGTTCACTGAAGGAGGGAAATGACGCGCCAGGATATCATTAATGCTATACGTGTAGCACCAAAAAAAAATCCAAAAATTCTGAAACACTTACAATTACATGAAAAAGGTTTGGGATCAGGAGTAAATCCTTGCGTAGGTGGTATATTGACTGACAAGGTTGCAGCATTTTTGCGTCCACCACGGCTCCCACCTGGCGCACCTCTCCTTTTACGTTTTTTTCGCCCATCAGACCACTCTTCTTCATCTGAAGCTTCGCCAGGATCTTCTTCGCTTGCTTCTTCTACTTCCATGTCTACTCCCGATTCTTTCATGATCTGTAAAGACATGATTATCAATAGGTCCTCATTACTAGCCTAACCAACGAGTGAATCGAAATTAACAGTTAACCGGCCCACCGTCAATTCTCTTTGGCAATCTGAGTAACATACAGTTGCATTACTAGTTGGTATTTTCACAAATTTTTCTTTTCACGACAAAGAAAAAACGAGTCTTAATGCTTAAATCGATATAAGTTTCTTCAAAATGTTTGCACATAAATTAAACGTTGGTAATCAGTCATTTTCCTCCTTTTACCACAAAATATCACTCATATAAGCTGCTGAAGTTATGACTTACATAAACTTTTCTTTTTTCAGTAAAATGATTTTCCAATGACGAATTTGCCATCGCTGTCAATGACTGGAAATCAGTTGGATCTAGAAAAAAAAAGATATTGAGAGGGCAAAATCCTGAAAGCACATATGACTGGAATAATGCAACACAGTAAAAGTCCGTTTTTTATTAACCAAGGTTTTCTTATTAATCACGAATAACAATTGTTACGAATTAAAAAAGTTTCACGGAACCATTTTAAAGTAAGGAAAAAGAATTACATGCGTAAATTTACAAAAAAAAAAAGAAAAACGAAACAAAAGAATAAGAATCTGATATTTACCCTGCCCAGCTGAACTGGCCTGATTTATCACATCACTAATTGTTGGATTACATTCTAATATATATTTCATTTCGGTTGCATCCGACGTTGGCGCTGATTTCCGCTTTTTCCAACGTCTACTACCATATGTGCAGTACTGTAAAAAATTGCATTTATGACCAATAATAATACGACAGTGTCTATTAAGAAAGTAAAAGTAAGATTGAAATGTAGGAAAAATATTGAAAATAGAAAAAATTTAGAGCAATGCACGATGACTGTGTCGGGTGAGAATACACGATACGTCTGTCATACGGAAAGTTATACAGCACTAATTAAATACAAAAACATCTACTACAATTATTCGCAAAACGATAACAAAAGCAACAAGAACAAAAATAACATAAGCACAACCAAACTGTAACTAAAACCATAACCGCAACGAATATATTGTACAACAATAACGGCAACAACGATACGAACAGCTTTAACATTACAATCACAATTATAACAAAACAACGGCAGTAATAATAATAATAACAATAATAATAATAACAATAATAATAATAATAATAATGATAATAATAATAATAAATAATAATAAAATAATAATAATAATAATAATAATAATAATAATAATAATAATAATAATAATAATAATAGAGAAAATTATAATGGTGACGAAAATAAAGTAGCAATTGTTACTAATATTGCTACTCATGATGACAATCCACACAAATATTACCAACACTTTGCAGATACTAACGGCAGTTGTAAGATGAATAAATGTTAGTGGTTTTTTAATTTGCCTCAGTGCTTTACTGAAGCATTCTTTGCAGCAACATAAAATTGTGTACGGGATAAGCAATATACCAAATTGTTCAAGCTATTTTAAGTTTAAAAGACGAGTGTAAGAATTCCAAATTTTGAAACATTTGATGGACAGTGCAACACTCGCGGATGGCGCTCTTTCTTCTCCTTTTAGCTTCTTCTTCTTCTTCTTCTTTGTAACTTGCTTACTTTCTCTTTACTTGCTTGCCAAAAAAACACATTTCCATTCCTTCGATTTAGTATTTACAAGCTAATAGAGGCAAATCTAAAGCCTTAACTTTTTGAAACACTTATTAACATTTTACTATAAAAGGGAAAAAAACATATAATAAACCTGGGAAGGATTCGATGGTGGATATCGATTTGATAGTTCATAAATAGCATGATGTGATGGATGTTGCGCTATACCGGTCTGAGGATCTAACACCGTATATCGACCTTTTCGTTCTGTTTCTACCCGACTGTTCCATTTCGAGCAATTCTTCATCATTTCTATGTACAATGATTCCGATATCATTCTAACCTGAAATTGACGTCACTACACGATTCATTCCCTTATCTATCCAGAAAGAATCACACCTTCCTCTATACCCCGACTAATCTGTCCTGGTATACTCATGGCCTAATTAATCAAAGATCATTGTCAACCACCGCATGCACATCCATTGATTTCCAGTCTACAAATTCCCTGGACGAACCATAAATTCCTCAGAAGTGGTTCGGCCCACAAATCTATTATACATATGCGGCAAGTTATTAGTACTTTGTGACAAAGGAGCTGGGGAAGGATTTGTATACAATTATTATTTATTAATTTAAGGTCCTGGTTAAATTTCAATAGTTTGGAATTTATTATGCTGATAAATTGTACTGTACTGTTGATGCGCAATATATCCTTTTTTTTGCATTGAAAAATACTCCATAGTGATGAATTTTCTTATTTATAATAAAAACAAACTTAATTAACTTGATCTTTTGCACTTTTAATAGAGGTTAGTTTTAATTACCTCCAAATTTTCATATCCATTTCTTGTAATACAACTTAGCCGAACTATCCATTGCTCTTGAAATTTGAAAAAGAAATTAGTAAATTGCATTTTTTTTTCAATAAATTGTGGTAAATGGATTTAGATTTATTGTTCTCATCAGTAAGGTACTATTTAATTTTACATGAATTTGACTGGGCAGTTTTTTTTTTATAATAATTAACGAACATTTCAATGACACGAAAGCATACGGTTGAATGGTTTTACTGTATTAGCATTCTTTTGCTATTTCCTCCTTTAGGATTAAATTTAATTACACCGATTGGTATTAATACGAAATTACAATATGCTGGTTTTAATATACTTGAAATTAGTCTGCGCCTTGTGATGAATTCCGGAAGGCATTCCTTTTAATATAAATTTCGGTACGAAGTGGCTTTTTTTTTGGATTATTACAAATTGGCTCTTTACAGTGGAAAATATTTCGGAGATATTTCTCTCGTTCTTCGCAATCTTTTTTTTCGTTCTTCATGTTCTTCGCATTCCCTACATTTCTATTTTCATGCGTTCTTAATAAAAGAAAATGATATTTTTGCTAGCTATGACGAAGAGGATTCTCGTGTATTAGTTATTGCTGCGAAAAACCAAAATGATGAATATTCCCGGTGGCTTGGTTAATAAACTCCTGCACCATTTGATATCTGACAAGAGTATTAAATGCCTGCTGTGTCGTTCCGTGCAAAATTCATCGATTTATGATGCAAGTTTGACTTATCTCATTGGCAAACTATTCATACTAATTGTGATAGTTTTGTTACACATCCTACTTAGCACCATAGTTAGGAATAAAGAAGTTCGTAATGAAATGCGAAATCAGTCTAATCCTTCATTAAATTTTTAGCTAAAATCGCTGAATGAAACATAATTACGTGTATCAGGAATATATGTCGGAAAATGAATTACATAGGTGAGGAATAGAATACATATATCCGGAAATAAATTTTCACCAATGTCAGGAAATCAGTCAGAGATATCAGGAAGGTAAATAAAAGATGGAAATGCTAAATATTTTGATAGGACTTTTTCCTAGATCACTTATGACCCAACTGTGCAAAAAGTTGCATGTTCGCCATTGCGCTTATTCAGTATTACAGGGAATGTATACTTTATCAAAGAAATTTCAACTGTCATAAGTATACCTTTGTTGAAAAAAGCATACCTCCTGCATCATAAAAAAAATATTAACATCCATTATATATTCATGCATCATTTCTAAAAGGTTGACAAGAGTGGAGTGGGAAACATTTCAGGTCAACAAGCCTTCAGAAGATTCTCAAGGAAAAGATCCAAAACTTCAGCAGGCCAAGCGTTCCATTATTGGATTGGTACTGAATTCTTGGTTTTATAATTTTTCTCAATAAGATTTTTCATTATTAATTGAAACCAAATTTTTTAACATTAAATTTTGCTCGGCAGAAAAAGTTGGTGTGCGAATTGTAGGCATGAAATATAAATAATATGAAGATGATCTGCGCATTCTTTATACTTATTCTTCTGGGTATATATTAAAAGAATGAATATTTCAGACTGCACCACTATTGGGATTTGCTCTCGGTGCATGGCAATTACAACGCTTGCAGTGGAAAACAAATTTATTGAAGAAAATAGAAGACAGAATGAAGCAAGAAGTTATGCCATTTCCAGATGATAAGTAATACTTTGAAATTGTTTCAGAAGGTTTTCATTCTCTTCAGTAGCAGCGTGTACCGAATAATTTATTAAACCAGCTAATTTCTAAAAAAAACCTCAGAAAAAGCCCCTTCTTCCTTCCAAAGCTCTTTATATGTGCACATCGCCTGTTCATATGTTTATAATTAAATATTTATAATTAAATATTTATAATTAAGTACTTACAATCAAACATTATAGTTGGATATAATTAAATATAATTAAGTATATTTATAATTGAATATCCGGTGGAAGGCAATTCATATTCTCTCAACTTTAGCTTGTCGTTATTGGACGATCTCGAATATGCAAAGGTGAAAGTGACGGGCGAATTTCTTCATGATCATGAATTTTATATACAACCAAGGCAGCGCTTTGATAAAGGTGAATCTCATTTGTGCGATCTTTGTGTCGTGTAAAAAAGTAAAATGTGGATGAAACTTTCAGGTCAGGATAATAAGTCGAAAGATCGACCTCCAGTGAACAATTTTGGCAGCCCTGGTGCACAAGTTATCACTCCGTTTAAGCTTCACCCATCGGGGTAAATTTTTAAATACAAATCTATTCATTGTAGGCTCAGATAAGGTGTTATTTCTCTAGTTTATGCTTGTGCAGATCTAATATCCAGCTGTTAAGGGTATACAGCGTTGATGTTATCATATCATTATTATTGGGTTTCAAGTCCCAATGCATCATGGGAAAAGTCGGTGTGACTCTTTCCTTCGCTTTATCAGTTTTTGGTTGTCCTTTTTTTTTTCTTTTTTGTTCAATGTTTTGTATCATGAGTTATGGACAGTTTTCATCCAGGCACGTTATTCTGGTCAATCGCGGGTGGGTCTCTCCACAAAAAATCACTCCTCAAAGTCGAATGGAGGGGCAAGTGCAAGGACAGGTCACCTTTGATGCAGTAGTTCGTCATACCGAAAAAGTAGCATATTTTATTGACCATAATTTTTTCATCTAATTTCAGAGGCCAATTTTTCTTTTTATTTAATCTAGTTTTGATGGTTCAAGAAGTAACAAAAAATAGAAAGAAATTGCTGTAAGTTTGAAGAATATTTTAACCATTATATTCAGGTATTATCAACGGTTTTGTAGGAATTGCTCTATTGTTCATTTCTTTCTTTCATCAAACCGTGAAATCAGATGGAAATAGTAGTTTTATTTGTTTGTTGCAAACATGAATTTAGCAAAAAATAAAAAGAAAAACGCAAACACGAATGGAAACTGTCATTCCTTTCCAACTTTAAGTTCAAATTGCTTTCAGAGACCCTCTTTTATCCGAAGAAATGTTCCTGAAAAAGACCTTTGGTTTTATACGGATATTACACAAATGGCAGAGAAATACGGCACGCTACCAATTCTTGTTGATGCATGTTATGGTACGAAGATTTGCCTTCTTGGTAATTGCAGTATGAAAATTTGTAATGTGAAATCTTCTTTGCAGTCATGAATTTGATTTTCTCATGAAGCCCTGGAGTAAATTTTACTCATCATTTCAGAATCAAGTATTCAAGGTGGTCCAATCGGAGGTCAGACAAGAGTAAACCATAGAAACGATCACATGATGTATGCGTGTTTCTGGTTAGTTCGTGTTCTAACTTACTTTACTCTCTTCTGTTGTTTGACGCTTTTTAACATGCAGATTTTCTTTCAGGTTCTCCATTGGCGCGGCGACTTTGTTTGGATGGCTTCTTTAAAAGTTGTTTTGGTTTGAATCTTGAAACACCGATCGAAGTGCAAATACAGTGGAAATTTCTATAGGCCTTCTTTTTTTTTGTCAAATAAAATTCTTGAATCGTTCTTATTTTCGATCGTTGTTTTTTGCCTCTTCTTATATTATGAATTTTAATTAATGAGTTAACTAGTAGTCCTCAGTCCTAGCTTCTTTTGCAAATGTTTGATAAAGGATGGTTGCTTTACTTAATGATAAATTATTTCTACAAATGATGCTCCAAACATATACATAGTTTGCATGATCTCTCTGGCGTTTTATATTGAGGTCTCGGAATATAACTCGGAAAAGTCGATCACGTATAGATTATTCTTTGTATGAGTAAGTGAAAGAAAAGCAGGGTTAAGAGAAAAAACTGTGGAGAAGGGAAAATGGAAAACTAGCACCAATACTGAACTCATCTACGTAGTCTGTTAATCCGGGATTGAGAGTTCTGAAGTTTTACTAGTTTACAGTGAAC